GGGCCAGGCCTTCCGGTCGGTTTGCTGGACCGCCCCTTTGCCCTATTGTTTTTAGACTCTTGGGTCGAGCCTTGGCGTGGAAGCCGGTCCCCGAGGGACCCTGGGTTTATGAACCCGATAATAGTACTACAATGATTCCCTATCAGGTGAAACAATTCAACAACTCAACACTCAGACATGCACATGATTTTTATTTAATTCAATTTCGAAACATTTTCTAAACCAATTTTGCTCCTATTCACAAGGTTAAAATTCGGGTCGTGAAAAAATTAATTGGCTTTCTTATAACTCGATAAAGTTCATTTTAATTATTTTTAATAATACAGGTAAACACATGGTATTAAGTCAGAAAGAGACATATAATAGCACTTTTATGGAAAAAAAAGTCCTTGCTAAACAAAATATATGAAATACATATCATTTGAATTATGATGTAACAAATTTTATAGTTTGTATATTTGGTGTCATAGTTCGTAATATTTTTCCATAATAAACTTGGTCAAATTTAAATTGGTTTAACTTAGGACAAATTATGATTTATTTCTTAGAGAGAGAGTAGTTATTCCTGTTACAAATATATGGAAAATGGCATCGCCCGTGAAGCAGTTACTATCAAATTCTGGAAAACATGGCAAATAGAAACCATTGTAGATGGCTGTTACGTAGTATGGACATCCAATATATACACGGGATTTGTAAGGACGATGAAAAATTTTTAACAAGAAACTCTTATTAATCACGATTTTGATAAGTAGCTTATATTACCCTTTAGTACATGCATGAATTGGTAGAACAGTTTTCTCATTTCCTTGTACGACTCGAAGAAATCATGTCCTTTTATTACACATTTTGTAACATCCTCCTTGTTACACCGTAAATCACTTACTAAAACACGTCATGAGCATCATACTTATGTGGTAATGCGTGCAATGAAACGAGTAAGTGAAGCATTGCAACATACCTAGGTTTAGCAATTTATCTAGAGAGATTTGGTTAGAGAGTGATGCGTGTTTTAGTTCGGTTTAGTAGCCTCGGTATCAACTTGATCATGGTGAAGTCGGTTTCGTTTAGAGGCAACAGTTTAGTGGCGCCATCGCTTTAAAACCGCGGCACAACACGCTCTCGGCATGTTTTCCCAAGTGGGCGCGGTCACCGCGTCTCGTGGATGCGACGTTAACGTTAGGCGCGCCCTGCTGCGCCAAGACGTTGGCGCTTCGGTTGGTCACCGTGGGCGGTCGACACAGGGCGCGCTATGTTGCCGCCACGCTGGGCCCGATGTGTAGCCATCGTGGCGCACCGACGCGGTGGTGTCCTATCCCTCCGTCGCAATATCGCCTTCGTCGCGACGCCGCGACGCAATTGCTACCACTACCGTCGCATCACCGTCTCTCACTCTCGCTTTGGCGTTTGACCCACGCTGCGCCGTTGGCCCGCTTTTGATGTCGCGACACGAGGTCGGACCGCCGTCGCTATGCCATTTATGGCATCGCGCGCGCAGCCATGCCGATCGCGAGTGTGTATGCTGTTGGCTAGCGCCGGTCGCATGGCTATCCCGGTCACACCAAAAACGTCCCACCAAAGGCGCGCACACGCCGAGCCATCGACGGCACCCACCGCTCTCGCGCTCTCCCTCCTACTCGGTTTTCTCTCTGGCGCCGCCGTCGAGTTGAGCCGGCACCGCAGCCGTGAAAGGTCACTTCCCATCAATTTCACGTACCCGTGTCTCCGCCCCCACACCCTCTTGCCAACCGCCCCCACCATGTCTTGATTAGTGCTTGGCTGAGCTCCAATTTTGGAGTTTGCTTCCGCCAGCGCGCCATCACCGTAGGCAGCCCTCAGCCCACCACTCCTAACCAAATTGGCTGCATCACTTGAATCACCGTTCACCCCTTCTCGCCCTGCGCACGTAAGCCACACTCCTACCGCTGTCCCCACATCGCTGACGTGGCCGTGCCACCACGGCCCGTCGTCGAGCTCGCCGCACGCACGTGGCCAGACTCGTTCGGGGCGCCTCGGGCCAAGCTACCACCTCTAGTAGACGCGTGGTGAGTCGCTGAGGCTCACCCACTACTTCTATTACCTTTCGTATGTTGTGGCTCAACGGAACATGGTTGCCGCCATCGTAGGGTGCCCACCGTCGTGGAGAGGCCATCCTACTGCATCTTGGCTCATCCAACCGCCGCCGAAGTTGTGCATCAGCCCTCAGAGGTAAGAGTCGACCCCTAGCTAGGTGGGCGCTGGTCTCGCTTGGCGGTGTAGCGGCTCGCTGCCTGCCCAAATGCCACGCCGATTTAACACGGAGGCGTTGGGGACCTCTCGATCGCGTAAGACGAGAGAATACGAGGGTTTCCTTACAAAGTCATTGTCTATAGGAATAATACGCATAGTGCTCGCGCTAATGCCTGATAACGCGAGGCCGTTTTTGCATGAGTGCCAACGCGCGTGGGCTGCCCCGTTGTGGGCCGGCTCGCGTGGGCCGCGTCCACGTGCTGGGCTCATCGCCTTTTCTTTTTCTAAGCGAATTAGTTAAATGTTTTTCTGATTTAGTTTTGAGCTAATCTTTGGTAAATTATATAAAATTATGCATGTGTCCAAAAATTGTGAAACCACTTTTGTTAGATTCTTAAAATCATGCTCTAGCTGTTGGTGTATTTAGTTCATGATTATATGTGTTGACACTAGGAGCTATTAAATCATTTGAGAATGCTTAATATTATTAAGTTAATTATTGTAGGAATTTTTGTGGCAAAATAGTGTTAGCTTTAGCCTTGAAATTTTTACAGTAGCTTCATGGTATTATTAGGTGTTTACTTAAACTTTTGTAGCCTCTCTGTACTGTTTACTAGGGTAGCTAAATATCCACTAAACATAAAATGAATAAGAACAGAATATTGATGTATAAATTTAAACACTTGTTAGGATAAGCTGAACATCCGGTTTGATGAAGATGATAGGTAGTTAGTATCTTAGCCATTAGAGCTAGCTTGTTAGTGTAGCTTCTGTGTTCTTATTTTATGAGTTGTTGTTGCCTAAATACTAAATTGTTGCATTATCATTGCATGTATGTAGAGAATGAGTTGGTGGAGTTCGTGACCACCGGAGAGCAGGAGTACGAGGAGATCGTCGAAGAGTACGAGGAGAAGGTCCTCGTGAGGGAGGAGGTCATAGAGCGGCCGATGACTGACATAGCTGACAATCCGCCTGTCCAAGGCAAGCTCCGATGCATAATCCTTATTTTTATAATCATAGTATATCTATATGTTGTGCATTTACGTTGCAGGAAATTTTATGGAAACCACACACACACACACATATATATATATATATATATATATGGTAAGGCTATTTTTTTATATATATATATATATATATATATATATATATATATATATATATATATATACACACGTCTATATATACGGTAAGGCTATTCTGCAGCTGGCCGCAGAATAAGTTATTCTATGGCCACTTTGAGTTACGATAATTACTATACTAATTTATGAGATTATGGTAACTCCCTCATAAGTGATTTACTATAGCATTATGGTAAGTATCATCTTGAATTATAGTAACCCATGTATCGTAAATGTGTATTGTCATTATCGTAAATTGATACAAACATTATCGTAAATCAAGGTAGCTATAGAATAAGTTATTCTGTGGCCAGCTGTAGAATAGTCTTACCGTGTGTGTATGTATATGTATATATATATACACACACACCTATGAGTCTTATTAGTTATTAGTGCAGGATCACGTAACTACTATGCTTCGGTTTATCGATAGCCTGAGTAATCTACCGTTACTCACAAGTAGGTGATATTAGTATTACACTCATGATAAAATGGTCGAAAGAAAAAAAAAGTGACTAAGCATGGATATGGTAGGGTATTGGTGGGTGTAACAGGTTGTGTCCCACGGCCACGAGGCATGGCTTGGTTGCACTATTTTCTCTGTCTGTGTCGATTGAGGACCGTCCGTTGCTGTGGATGGTAGTCAGATCACAGATTTATTATCCTGAGCACATACTTACTTATGGGAGCGGGAAGGCTCGTTGCTCTCTTGTCGTGGGTTCCGGCTCCTTCTGGACCGACTGATTGGAGGCGGGAAAAGGTGGAGGTCTAAGCACCTTGACCGAAGTCCGGGACTTAGGTGTGGGGACTTGGAGTCAAGTTTGACGGGTCCTGGACCCCTTTGACAGAGAGTGGTGGGTTGGTCTTGGTTGTGCACAGGGTACAAGCGGGCGTGTGTTTTTGGGGTATCCAATTTGGGCTACATTGATTCGTGAATCGCCATTTCTACGTGATTTGGTACAACTTGGCTATGGTCTAGCAACCGTAGTAAGAACCGGAATATGAAAGTAGGTGAAATAATTCTGATTGCTCAACCCTTGCTTGAAGGTAGAACATGTGCTTACCTAGAATGGTTAGCTAATGAAGTAATCATATTTGCTAATAAAACCCGATTGTAAGGACAAATTATTAGTAATGCTTTCCACAAAACAAAAGAAACCTAGCAAGCCATACTGCCTATCATATCCTTGAGAGTCAGGAAAATTATTCCCACTAATCGGGTAAGTCTTGCGAGTACATTATGTACTCAGTGTTTACTTTACACCTGTTGCAGGTGCAGCTTGAGGAGTGACTTTTATGTGTAGGATTCTTCTGGTGGGCACAGACGGATCATTGTATCTTATTGCTAGATATTTATTTCTATTCCGCTATTTAATTCCGCACTCTGAACTTGGTATTGTAATGAATTATTTATAAGATTCTTTGTTGTATGAAATAGACTAAGAATTGTAAGCTCGTACTCATTATTGGATCCTGAATGTAAAACGTGGATTGTTTCGAGTTCTTCTGTGGGTTGTGCTCGATGGAACTGTCTGGATTAGCTATATTTCGGGGTGCTTAGTGTCTAGTGGAAGACAAGCGCCTCTGAAGGTGGGTTATTTCGGGCGATTCTGCCACACATTTCCACCGTGGCATTTCTCCAAGCACTCCTTTATGTCATGCCAGCACTGTTTGGTGAGTTTGCAGCAGTACTCTAGAGCTTGTAGATAGCACAACAAATCTTTATTATCTCCAATTATCTTTCTTGTTGCCCCCATCGTGGTCATCGTCGCGCTCCCAGTGTTGCTAACCTCTTTGGTTTCCCCTAATAAAGATTATTCAAACTACAAGTAATATGGTTAGAATTAATACTATATGTATATCTATCTAATTTGCCTCAATGGAAAATGTCTCAAATTCATTGATTACCACTTATTGTGTGTGCATGATTGACACATGATGCCAGAAGTACCATGGAAATCATCAAGAGTCCTTGGACACTGGTGTAGTTGAGGAACTTCGTCATGGGTGATGGATAGGATCTAATACTTAAAATGTGTTATTATTGAACGCTGCACCATATGGCCAATATATATACATGCACCCATAGTCTATCTATATATCTATCTATCTATCTATATATCTATCTATCTATCTATCTATTTGTCTATCTATCTATCTATCTATCTATCTGGCTGTCTGGTTGTCTATCTATCTATCTATCTATCGCCCTATCTCTCTTTCCATCTATCTTTATTTATCTGCATATCTGTTTATCTATCTGTAAGTCTATCTGTTTGTCTGTATGTCTGTCCATTTGTCACAGGCTCTTGGGATATTCTCGAATTAGTTAATGAAAATTTTCCGAATCATCAATTTAGTGTAATACCAAGTGCAACAATTCATAAAATCTTGCAAATACAAATATACCATGAAACACACGAAAAATGTGCATGTTTCCTTACTAAACTTATTGGCGGCAACGAAAAAATATGGCTGGAACATTGACCTGGTTATCTGGTACCGTTAATATATATGAGTGTGGATTTTTGGCAGCCGGGTGTAGGTGCGCACCCAGCGCCCGGCGTTGGATGGGGCATCAAGATTCGGTTCTGCTGCTTGTCCCAACTCGCTCCCAGATGTTTAAAAGAAACTCTAATCATGTGTTTATACCTAAGCCTCTGCAAAGTGACTGCTACCGAGCCAGTATCTGTACGGTGGTAATGTGCAAATACAACAAAAGCAAACCAGCCACGAGCAAGCACGAGCAGTGAGGTCGGCGGCTTGCCGCGTCGGGGTGGGCGGTGCTCGCCGTGGCAGAGCTCGTGGCCAAGCTCGGGGCCAAGGGGCGGACTTGACTGTTATGTCCGAGGCCCGACAGGCTGCTCCCGTCCCGGAGCACCCACGCCAGCTCTCTACACGTCCCATGACTCTCCCCCTCCCATTGCGAAGGCGCCGGCGAGCTCTGTTCGCCGCCGTCGCAATGGAATAGGAGACAGCGTCCCCAGCTACTACTGGGCAGCGGCGCTGAGGTGGATCCCACAGCTCTCCTCGTACCCACCACGGGACTGCAGCTCCCAGCGCGCCGCGGTCGCTGCTCCGACCCACCTCGACACCATGGCCGCCGTCGGGGATGTGGGAGGGCGCATCAGGTGGGGAGGGAGAAGGGGGCGCCGCCTGGGAGCATACAGTGGCGGATCCAGGATTTTATCTCAGGGTATGCCGTCCAAAAAATTTTATATACAATTCGGTAAAATCATTTGGCAATTCGGTAACAGTTGTAAAATTTGAACGTAATACGCTGTACATACATTAAATAACACAATAAGTCTTAAATTTAAACATTAAGTTGAAAACGCACAAATTACGATATAAATAGATCAAACGCTATATTGATAGTTTAAAATATAAATGTAAAAGATAGCAAGGGACTTACAATACTACTTATCTAACTGTTTTAGCCGACGCTTTCTAACGGACATAAATGTCTTGACTATATCATCTCCGTTCACTTAAAAAAAATATTCCGCTCGATGAAGGTGAAAAGAGATGCAACGTCTCCACTTCTCTTCATGACTACACAATTATAAAAGAACACACAACACTAAACAATTAAATAAATTACACTTGCACGGATTGAATTATGTGATTACACAAACACTGACGTGATATATACTGAGTTGTTGATCAATCTCAATCGTTTCTGATGTTTGGCAAATTCCTGATCTCGCTGCACGAGAGAATATGATGACTGGTTAATGTTAACAATTAAAGTAAATAGGATCTTTTATACAAATATACAAGGGGGGAAAAGAGAATTGAATCTCACGGTGATCCGAGATTGATCGACTCTGAGGCCCGTCGTTTGGCAGGCAAGGCGGAACCGCGTGCGCCTAGGGTGTCGTCCCTGGCCTCTCGTCGTGAGTCGTGACGTCGTCTCGGCGTTTCGCCGTTTCCGCAAGCCTGCAGTCTGGCGGCGTCTCTTGAGTCGCGTCCGTCGAAGGTTCCGATCGACCGAGTGTTGGAGGCGTCCTCCGGCCAGCAGGCCAGCCCAAGACAAAGTCACGTGGAGCCGTGGGCCTGAAGCCCTGAATGCTACAAGGCCGATGGCGCAGCGTCCGTTCCTCGCTGGACAATTTCCAGATATTTTTTTTATTTCTTTTAACAAATATCTTTGTATATACATGTGTATTAGCTGGGCACGCCACTGGGAGCATAGGGCGCCGGCGCGAGGGATGGCACCGCCGCTGGGGGGTGGGGGTGGGGGGCATCATGCGGGCTGGGGGAAGGGAGCCACCGGGGTGGCCGGATACGTAAAAGGTAGCGGTCTGGACAGGACGGGGAAATACAGATGCCATATGAAAGAGACAAAAGGTGTACAGGGTGTCCTGACAAAAAGTCGCTGCTGTGCACCCAGTTCTGTCTGCGAGATAGGGTCCAGCCACTCAAATGACGCGTCTGCAACTGCGTTCCCCCGCTAATTAGCATTTCTATACTCTCCCCTAAACACTGTCATCGGACGGTGGGTGCGCAGGTACACCTGCTTGCCATTCAATATTTCCCTAATATATATATGACCAAAGAATGAAGGAAATAATAGATTTTTAATTACTTTCCAAAAATTAGTCTACTTGAAAATTTCTAAAGCTAGATGGAAAGTTTGCTACACCACCCCATTAGCGTGGCAGCTCTATTTTGTCATGCTGCATCCAGATTGCCGTTGTAAGACTACTGCTATTCTAATTTAGAAAAATCTTTTCTTTTTCCATAAGATGTGGGATGCAGAAAAAAAAAATTGGATGAAATTTTATCGCCATCCAAAGCCATATAATAATGACTTGGTTTTTTCTAAGGTACCAGGGTTGTCCTGCCACACCAATCCGGCAACTGTGTTAAAATAGAGCTGTGTCCAAAAAGGGTACGTTGCCTAGTGATTACAGAAGCCTTAGTAGCAGCTCAGGTTATGGGTTCAACTCCCTGTGGTAGTGAATTTTGTGCTTTCAGTGGTAGTTAACATTCCCGTCGACAGTGTAAGGTGTCTATGGTGACTTCGTGAATCTCGAGGATTTACTGGTCCAGTCTTCGAAGATGTTTATAGGGGTAGGATTTGTGTGTGTGCATTCATAGGGTAAGTGCGTGTGTTATGAGTGTTTGTGTTGCCAATCGTAATTCAAAAAATTTAGAGTTGTGCCTGTTAGTTGATCTCCACCATTAGGCCCAACGGCCTATTGGGCCCTTGGCTCTGCTCCCTGATCGGGAGAGCCCAACCCTAAGCTGGTTGGTGGGCCCTCGTCGCATGACAAAGACATACAAATAGAGAAGGTGGGGATCGAGCTCGAAAGAGGTTCACTGGAGCCGCCACACCCACCTATAGAAACCCTAATACCGATCTAAAGAGCTGCCGCCGGTGACGGATGTGCCCCAACCACCGCCGTCTCCCATCAGAGGACACCGCCCGACGTCACTAGACTTCATCTCGCCATGGCTGGACGTCTTCTACACTGCTGACACCGTCGGTGCGGTGCATCTCAAGGGCTAGGAGCCTACTCGGATCTCTGGGTTTACAGTAAAGGTACTCACATCGATCCTAACAATGGTACCGAGCAGATTACTCTGTGTATTCCTGTGTATCCCTAACCCTAACCGGGTAAAAGCAAAAGAAAGAGAGACCGGCTCAAGGTCTACGGTCATCACCGCCACCGCATGGGGAAAGGAGCCGCGACCGTTCGACGACGCAGACGGCAAAAGTAAAGAAAAAAGAAGATCCTTTCTGGATCGGAGAAGAAATATGGCCCTAGGCTCACAGAGGCGAAACCCTAACCCTAGAACGGGATAATCTGCATTCGGGTAAACAAGGAAAAGAAAAGAAATAAAAGAAAATGCAGAACTTAACCCTAGATCCATTGGATGTCAAAGAAAAGAAAGGAAAAGCAGAAAAGAAAGGGGAAAAGAATAGGGTCGACATCTGAACCCTAAACCTAACCCTAGACGGATCCTCATCCCTAACCAGGGTTGAATCCGAGAAGAAACAAAAGAAATCAAAGAAAAGAAAAGAAAGGAATCAAAGAAACCCTAACCCTAATCCCCTCCTTCGGTTCGGTTCGGATAAGAGGAAAGCGAGATCCAAATCGAAAAGAAGGGGGTGGGAAAGGAGAAAGGGAAGGGGACGGATCCACCCTCGCCGGCATGGGAAAAGAAGAGCCGGGATGACGTTCACGGCTGCTGGAGAAGAAGAGCCGAGCATGGGGCGCCCAAGCCGCAGCTGCGACAATGGACGTGCTCACCTGTTAGAGCACGCGCGCCGGCGAGGGGGCATGGCGACAGCGCCAAGGCTCGCTCCACCGCCCCTTCGCTTGTAAATGTTGGTCGCTTCTGGGCTGCACCGAGGTAGAGAGAAGAGAGAGCGAGCGAAGAGAGAGAGAAGGGCAAGTCAATGAGACTAGGGTTTCGGGGCCCATGGTCGAGTCATTTTTATTCGGCCGAAACAATCGGACGGCCGCCGGATCGATCCAACGGCGCCGATGCACGGGCCCACGAGCTGGCCCAGCGAGGAGAGCCTTGGCAGCTTGCCTACCAGCCCGTGTTGCGGCACTGGTGCGGCCTCTGTACATGGAGAGAGAAGGCGGGCCGAGCTGGTTTTACCGGTTGGGCCGAAAAAGAGAAAGAATCAAGATCAGCTTTTTTCTTTTCGAGAATTGCTAATTTCGGAAAATGAAAAATATATCAAAGAAAATATAAAAGTGATTTTACCTGTAGGTAAAATTCAAGAAATTGAGCATATGTTTTTCATTTCTGCGAAAAGAAAAGTACATCCTCCAAGTGATT